TTCCCTTGTCAGGGAAAGAACGCATCACTTGGCCATCAGCCTCACTGCTACATGTTATTTCATGTGCAAGTCCTAAGAAAAACTATAGTATGTACCAAGCAAAAAGTATGCATTTCTAAGTAAATACACCCTTCATAACAATACTGCTAATTTTCAAAATTCATGAAGACTAACATTTTTTTGAAGATTCATTAAAACTTTTTCAGATAAAGCTCATACTAGTCCACATCAACTACTCCAAAATACATTAAAAATGTAATTGCGGTTAGGACTGCTGAGCATCTACATGAATCTACAAAAATAATTTGGAAAAGCAGGATGAGTTTGTTTCAGGCTTAAATGGTACCAGTTATGCAAATAGCCAGAGAACTCTCTTTTCCCCTGAACTGCCAGCTACCAAAACCCAGTTGCTGGATGAAGAAAGAAAGGGGACAGCTTGTTTCCAATCGCAGAAAGAAAAGACCAACACAGACACAGAGCAACCACAGCTTTTAGCATCCTTCAGACTGGCTAGAGAGGTGCAATGAAGCACTACAACTGCAGTGGAAAGAGGGAAGAAACGCTGATCTTGCTGGGAGTCAGCAGTGCGATGAGCACCTCCCCCTTAGGCCAGGCTCCGGGCTTAGGCCAGCGCTGGGCTCAATACAGCATCGCTTGACAGCGCGCTGCCCAACGCTCCCTGACGCAACGTGACCCAAGCGGCAGGAGCAGCCCTGCGTTCCCATCACCAAACACTCCCAACACCAGAGCACCTCCACACACTTCCCTTTCACCATTGCTGAGATCTGAGCGCAGCACCAGCAAGCACCGTGAGGACAGCTCTTGGCACAGCAGGAGGAGGCCACGCACCTATTTTCACGGGGTGACTCCCCTGGAATTTAAATACAGAAAGATTTTCTGGAAAGATTTTATTTTCAAGACTTTCACGAGAGATGTATGGAAACCTTTCACACTGGCAGCACACAGAGGCAAAGCTAGAGTCCCTAGATATAAAACAGTGTTTTGAAATTTCATTCAATTAGGAGCTAGGGAAAGGCAGGGAGGAGATATTCCACAACACACTGATTTTGCTGGGTATTTGTATATGTCATATATGGAAAATAATGAGCAATGCTTCACTAAACCCACACCACTCACAAGGAATAATCGGGTTTTTGTTGACTTTTAATCGGTGCCGGAGATCTGCCACAGGACCGGGGTGCCGGGCGCCACACAGAGCCCAACGGAGCGGCCTACGCGCTGGGCCGGCCCTGCGAGTGCAAGCCCAGGGAGAGGACATTCCCTGAGGATAAAGGGAGCCCCAGCAGGCCCGTGCTCAGGGGCCAGCAGGCCTTTGCTGAGCACAGAATCGTTCAGCGTTTGTGTCTGCGCACACAAAGAGCTGAGAAACTAGCTGGGGAGCTGCTGCTGCTGCCGCCTTCAGGTCTGGGCCTGGCCAACTAACAGCGCGTGCTGGGGGAAGTCTGTTGCTTTGGCTTCTCCCACCGAACGCTGAAAAACTGTTTGATTTTAAAGCACAGACACTTACAAATACTGAAAGAATCAGCTACAAGGAGACCACACAAGCTGTTCCAGCTTTTCACAGAAGTCTGCTGCCTTTCTTTTTAAACAGTAAATACACAGCCACCTCTTCAGTTTGCCCTTTCATCTATTCTGAAGCAGTTTTTAACACACACTTCATTTCCTAACTAGCTGATCATATACAAGTTTTGGTTGTGTAGCTGTAAAACGCTAGAAAAGATGAAAGTGAAGCAGGACCTTGATCCTGCAAGAGGAGCCGGCGAGGATACTGTGGGTGTCTCGCAAGTCAGAGAGCTAGGAAGAAAGCAGCCTGTTCTGACCCTGTTGTAAGCTGATCCCGCTAAAGCGGCACATGGATTACCATTTATAGCGTTTCCCAGGGGCTGGGGTGAGGGGCGATGCGGGCGGTAGACAGCTCTCAGTCTGGCTACACGAGCTGCCAGCAAGGTTATAAAAACGTGTGGATGCCGGGCGCCAAGGGAGGGCGGCTCTCCCCACCGCCGCGGAACTCCGCGCGGGCGGCCGCGCTGAGGGGCCTGCGGAGCTTCCGAGAAGCAGCGCTGCCTCCTGCCCCCGGGCTGGGGAGCGGGGACAAGGCCGGGCAGCGGGGAGAGCCCCGCACCACGTGAACGGGCACAGACGAGGCCGCGCAAAGCACCGTGGTGCTCCCCAACCCAACACTGCATGTGCAGCGGCTCTGTGGGCACCGGTGAACGCTCCTTGCGGCGCTGCGCGGACCTGGCCACCCCACAACCCGGGGAAGCGTCTCCAAGCTGGACGGCTTTGCATGCCTGACAGAAGAGTCTCTTCCCAAGGGCTAGCCAGGATCTGTTTCTGCTATGAAAAAGGGAAGAGTGCAAGGTTTCAGGCTTGCAGAGGGCACAAAAAAGAGTCTTTATGTAAAGGCTGCTTAAAGACTCCTAAGAGAGCCTTTAAGGAAAAAACAAAGCAAAAGAAAACAAACCAAAAAACAGTTACTCCTATCAAACATCCTGAAATATTACCACTTTCACAAAACAGGATTCAGCTATCTACTTTTGGTGCTCAGCCTCTGGCTTGCCTAAGTGCCTTTCTTTAGAGTTGAAGGCAAAAAAACTCAGGGCAAACATGGTCAATATTCTCTTATTGCAACAACTGCACAAAACAGGGACTGTGAATTCACAGGCATGGCCAAGAGGGATGCTCCCTTTTGGGATCCTTTGCTAGGTTACACATGCCTCTGCCCACCCAAAGACTAAGGACTTTCTTCCAGATGGGAAGCAATAAAATTGAGACAGTTCCACAAATGGGTTAAAGCCTGACCTGCCTTCCTCCCTCTCTGCCTTGACTGTGGAAGAAATATATCCTAACTACCTATGTAAACCAGCACTATATAAAAATGAAGTTAGGAGTTTAACTGACGGAGGACTCATTAGAGCCAAAAATACCTCTTTAAGACTTTAAGAAATGTTGTTTGATATTCTTTTATCTTATTAAAATAATATAAATTCTGTGTGCACAGAAACTGGCAGGTCTAGAAAAGAGCAGCATCTTCCATTTATCTCCACTTGACCTAAAGGTTTGTTCTTACAGCTGGAAAGGTTAAATTGTTCTGTGAGTCACTTCATTCTTCATTCCCTGGGCTAGGATGGCCAAAGAAGACACCAATTAGTGCCAGCCAAGGGCAGGCATTTTCTGAACCAAATACTTGTTCATAAGCAGCTGGGATGAAATCCCCAAATTCATTTCCCTCAAGCTTCTAAGGAGTGATGAGATGCATTAACTTTCACCAGAGCGACGAAAGTGCAAGCAAGCAAGCTACCACAAACTGGGGCTGGATGAGGACTAGCAATTCTGCAGGGATGGATGCCTATTTTGGGTCTCTGACCCATGAACTAGCCTCATTTGAATTATTCCGAAGTCCTTTCTTATGAAGGAACTAAGGGAGAAAATCATCTGTTTTAGATATAAACTCTATTTTTTTTATATTCCCCAAAGCATCTGCATGGCTAGAATAGACTAGCCAATAAACATACATTTTATGTTCTTTACATTAAAGCACATTCTAGGAACTATAATCCTCTTACTAATAAACTAGACAGCTGAGAGAATGAAAACAGATAAAAGAAAATGAATTTAGTTTAGCAATCAAGACCTGCCTTGCACCATTCCCCTGCTTACTTTATATCAGTTTCTCTGATTTACAGTCCTGTATCTACCACAGAAAGAAAATTAGGAAGAGAGAAGTCATAGAATCATAGAATTACTGTGGCTGGAAAAGACCTTCAAGATCATCAAGTCCAATCACAAAATATTGCATTCCTCCCAGAAACAATATACACGTCCCACTGCTAAAGTAGGCAGGGAGATTTTTAACTTAAATTGATAAAAATACAATAAATTGTATAATTGATTAAAAAATAAATATACAGAACTCAAACAGCAAAACTTCAGTCTCTAAACATGCTGTTGTCCAAATGGTAAGGAAATGACAGAGTATGACAGAAAACTGCTCAGACAACAGGGAAAAATGGGTTGTGAACATTGACTGAATAATGCCTGTTTTTACACTACACTTATGTTTTACAGTAATTTGGAAAATTTTAACCAGTTCTGTGAAGATGAACTTCAGAGTTCATCTCATGGATCTTCTACCTGAGAAAACTGACTTGAGAATAACCTGTGCACTGCTTGCATTTAGGCATCTGTTTTCTTCATGCATTCATTTACAGATGAAAGCAGGAAACATTATTCTAATGTCAAAATGAGAAACCATTCTCTTGCTCTTGCCCTGACACAAAGGGCCTACACTCCACATTTTCTGCAAGAATTCCTGCATGCCTTAAAGCCCATTGACTTTCAGTGAAATATAAGGGCTCTCCATCCTCGCAAACAGAGGCTTCTGAAAATTTCACCCAAGTTCCTAGTTGGAAGATTTAATACATGAAATAATAAATTTGGGTAAATCTCTAATTTCCAAAGACTAGTCAATTTCAAAAAGATTCAGAAGCATTTTGAAAGATTAAGAGCAGAAAGTTTTTATTTTACTACTACTTCCATGCAAGCCAATCAACTCGAGCACTTAGAGGCATGCCCCACCATCTAAGTTGGATCATTCCAGGCAAGTGCAGGTCCCAGCTCAGATACTGGTTCAGAATTAAAACTGGCCCATCAAAATTTTGGCTTCCTTAGCTCTGAGCACTCTCTCTCTGACTGCTGGGGAGGCCAGGGGAGGGCTACACTGCCCTGCTTGGAGCTGAGGCAGATTTGGTGAGTCTCCAAGCTTCAGATTTCTTAGCCAGGTGAACCACAAAGGTTGGCTTGGAGGTTTATACAGCAGCTCCTGCAGCAAATTCTATTCTGACAGATTAGATTGCCTCATTCCTGCCACTGTCCTCCCCACAAAAAGGATGTTGCGGGCTATCCATCAGAGAAGCAGCAGGTAACCCGAAGGCACAACGCAGCCTGTCGTGCAGCGGGCTGCGTCCGCCTCAGCTTACCTGTTTTATGCACTGCAGCCGGTCATTGGTCTGCTGTATGTGCCTGTCCATAGAGTTCATTGTGATTGTCTCCGCTTGGCTTCTACCTGAAAGCCATTAAAATCCCTCAATCTGCAAGACAAAAAGAACAGTAGAGATCATTGAACACAGCCCAAAGAACAGTAGAGATCATTGAACACAGCCCGTGCACTCATACCAGCTCCCTGAGAGTTGCACACTAGCTCTTGATCCCCCCGGGGTGAGGACTTTTCCCTGTGGTTTGGGGAGGGCTGGGGCGCTCGTGGCTCTGCACCAGAGTGACATTCCCAAGTCACATGGGGACACCTGCTCAGGTACTGCACAATCCCCAGCGAGCCTCTGTGAGGCCACTGACAAAGACTTCTTTTACTCAAAGAATTATCACACAAATGGCACTGAAATGACAGAGCAGCACTGCTTGCAAGAACCCCCGAGCACATTTGGAGATAAAAAATAATAATAATAATAATAATAATCATGATAACAATGACAGCCTGGGCTTTGCAAGGGCAAGGGCATGGCGATTCCTCCTAATCTTCCACCGGGAGAAAATACCTCTCATAAATATTAAATGAATCAGATACGGCAGAGTATTATATGGCCAGAAATAACACAAAACATGTTATTGGCCTGAAGTGATAGGAAAACTGAATTTCTGTTTTGAAATAAAAGCACCCGGTATGCGCTGGATTTTCCTGCAATACTAAATGTAGTAGATCAATTTAGGGTGTCCTTGAGACGGCCGTGATGACAGTGGCAGAGTCCCGGGATTTGGGCCTCAGGATCGAGCCAAACGGCTGACAGTCCCCCCCACATGCGGGGGCATCCCGACCAGGCCCGGCTTCCTGGCCAGAGCGCCCGGACGGTCCCTGCGGCCTGGGGATCCAGCCTCTCCCAGGGCTCTCCAGCTCAACGAACCACTCGGGACTTCCAAACACGTCTCTCACGCTCTCCGTCTCCGGGATCGTCTCCAGTAATAACCAATCTTGAGACAAAGCGCAACTTCCCTAGGGCTTTGAGCACCCAGCAAATGGATACGGACAGACACCAACAACTCATCAATAGCCTTTTTGTCCATAATTCATATTACCACATGGTGTGCAGGGTAATTTTTATTTATGTTTTAAGCAGAACTGCTTGAGACTCCAGCTTACACTTAATAAGCTTAGCAGTTTTAAAGGCTTTTTCCTGGATCTTGTTTCTCAGTTAAGGGCACAGCAATGTGTCACACATGCATATATATATGTTTTCCTCTCCTGTTTCAATCACTTTCATGGTATTTTAAAATGGAAATGAAACCATAAATATTGCACATTGTAATACGAAACCAGCCTTTGCCCCTAAATTCCTGTACTCTGGTACAACAGCAGGGTAGCACAGTCTAAAAATGTGTATTTCCAAGCTCAAGAACAGAGAGTAGGCATGGATGCGGGAATATGCATCCTAATGCTGCGTTTATACAAGCATAAAATTTCATGCTAGCACTAGTAAGGTCTGAGACCTGCACAGCAGCCTCCGGCCTGGGAATCTCTCCCATCCAAGTGGGATGGAGCAGGTCTGTTGGTCAGTGCCCTCCAGGGCTCCTTCCTACGCTCCCTGCGTACCCGCAAGAGCCAAGTTCCCCCGTGCCTGCTCTGCTTGCTCCTCCTCTCCATGCTCCAGACACGATGTGTTCAATAAAGCACTCCTGTCAATAAATCACAATACTTAGGAAATGGTCATGCCAGTCTCATGTACAAGTATTATCATCTGCTTATGCCCCAGCCACCTTCTCAATGCCAGACGCCATCCAAAGGTCCTGCACCAAATATAAATTGGTATGTTTTGCTAACACGGTCTTATCTGCCTGTAAGACCCCCAAACAAACCTCGGCAGTCACAAAGTTTAATCTCTCCGCGGACAGCGAAGGTATTTATCATGAGATAAGCCAGCCCAGACACGACACCACTTCAGCAGCAATCCATCTTACAAGCTGGGACACATTATCTGCATTTTAATTGAACATCAGGACAGATGGAGGGTAGCATGTTAAAAGCAAATATAAACACATACATGCACACAGTGGTTTTGATTTTCCTCAAATATTTCAACAAACTGCTGCCTTTTTTTACATTATTACTATTTTGGAAATTAGGACACTTTTGCTTAATGAACCAATAAGCAAAATACCAAAGACCTGGTTGACTTTGTAGTACAATTTTTGTCGTCTTGGTTTAAAGACCTCACTGCTATACAGCCACACACGGGTCCTGGGAGCCACTCTGCAAAGAACATTTATCTCGGGCAACAGAGACACGCTCGGCGCTGCCAGAAAACATGATTCTCAAGCAAAGCCAGACACAGCAGCGCTCAGGCTGATGGGCTAATCACATCAGGAGCTGCCTCTGGTGTCGCTGGCCATATTCGGGGGGCTGGGAGGCTGCAGAGAGGTTTTACAAAGAACGTGGTAATGACTCGCATTCACGTACTGCCACTCACACCAGCAAATGATTCTGCGTGTTGATTTATGAACTCTGAATATAATCCTGCCCGAGTTGCGGCCTTCCCGCTAACCGCAGACAAAAACCCAGGGTGCTTTCAGCTACCTGAACCGCGACCCACTGCTGTCTTTGTCCAAATTGTCATTTCTCACGCACGGTGCGGGCTTCTCCAGCATATCTGAGAAACCACAGCGCAGAGCACAGCAGTAACTCGCAGCCGTGAGCGCACACAGATGGAGACCCCTCCGCAGCGAGGGCTGGCAGTGCAACCCCCTTCCTCCACGAAAGGCAACCTAGGCCACGGCTGTGCGCAAACTGATCAAACTCTGCTCCAGAACACTCCTGCTTTTAGCACCCAGCCCACCCGTGCAAAGCTACTGCTCCACGCTGCTCGAACCCCCCATGTGCAAATCCTCAGTTCAAAATTAGAAACAAAACAAAACACAACCTTTTCCTCTCAATCTCACACAGTTTTAAAAGTAGAAGATCATCTTACTTGAAAAAAATAGTGCTTAAGCAACAGAAAAGCCAGGAGGAGGAAATAAGAGCAGGGTTTTATTTAAGTGCCAAGTGCTGCCCAGGCCGCGAGTGGAAAGGACTCTGCAGAGCATCTGGCCAGGCCTGTGCAGCACCATTAGAAGCCGCGCTGGGGTTTGGGCCTGGCTGCCAAGAGCAGCAGGGGTGGATGGGGCAGACCAGGATTAAGGGCAGAGACAGAATGGGACAGAGCAGGGAGCCTTGCAGGGTGAGAGGCCAGCACTACGGTTCTACGTGCAGACTCCATCCGAATGGACAAGCAAAAAGACGTGTTCCTCACACCTCCTGCTCACGCAGCAATAAAAAGCCCCATCCTTCTGTGGTCTTTTCTGGGTAATGACTCCCCCCACCCCCAAAAAGGGAATTATTCCTCTCCCTTCTTCCCTCTCTTCCAGCATGCAAGTATATAGCCCCAGGCAGTAACTAAAGAGGTCTCATCTACATATTTATACAATGTCTCAAAAATGGAGAATGCTTTATTTATTTTTTTTTTAAAAGAAGAGACATAGTGACCTGTTAGACATTTTTTAACCCTAAGCGTACTTATTCTTTCTTCATTGCGTCATTGATAGAAGACATGATTAAATATTAAAAAAAAAGCATAGAATTATGTAGTGCCTAAAAGAAAGATATTTTCACAGCCTTCTGTTATACCCTGTGTTGTCTGAAATTTCAAGTTACAAGTTCGTGATCATTTTATCAGCAATTGGGCTTCCACCAGGCATTTCTGAAGAGCCATTCTGTAATGCACGTTCTCCATCAGCTCCTCAGACACCTCAAGAGCCTTTCAGCTACTTGCCCTGTTTCCTTGCTCTCCTCGCATGCGGCTGCTACCAAGAGCGCGAGCTTGGCCCACGGATACTGCAGGACATGTGCATCAACCGAGACCGAAGCTGAGACACGGGCACAACCTTCAAGAGAAGCTTTAAAGCCTCCTTGGTTGGTGCTTTTTGCTCTCCTCCCCCTCTCAGACACTTTCTTCCTCCACTTCCTGCTCCGAGAGGGAAATGGAAGTACAAAAACACCATGGGAAACTGCACATGCTGAAGGTAATGGAGAAATGTCGCAACTAAGGGTGAACATCAGAGGAAAGCTCACTAAAACATGTCATCTGACTGCCAGCCTAAAGTGGTCCAGGTCACACGCACATACCAAGCCTGTGCACCAGTACGGGCCAGCGACAGGAGCAGGAAGGGTAATTTCTCAGCAAATCAAGTTTTAAGTGGATAATTTCAGTAAATCTACATCTAAACAGAAACACATTTTGATAGAACTCACTTGAAAGCTAAGACTGTGCTGGCCCATCTGACAAGTAATAAATACAGCTCTGTGAGGCTACTTAAAGGCCTAAGGCATTGAACGACAGCTGACTGGAATCTTACCAGCATGTCACATGGCCTTGCTGGGTTAAATAAATAAGTAAATAATAAATAGAGAGACACAAACAACTGGAGTATTCACCATGAAAGTGAGTGACTGATTTCAAAATTAAAACACTTTGCAAATTGCAGTGGAATCACAAACAGGAAAGGCAACAGGAAATGATGCCCATAACTCATTTTGAGTCCTTCACGGATGTTTGCCCTTGGAGGGGGATGGGGGGGAATCTTCTATATGAAGAGTGCAAGGAGAGAAAAAAGGTGCTGCAAGAGATACCACCAGAGCCCCCAAACAGCGCCCGCTTGCTGGGTTTGACTTCCTGCGTGCAACAGGCGTGCAGGCAGCCACCGCTCGGGGAAGCGAACGCCTGTTCCAACCAGGACGAAGCCCCCTTCGTGGAGGGATGCCGGGGCAGCGCACACCGCGCCGGCGCCTCCTGCCCGCACCATGAGGACGAGGGAGCCCGCGCCGGCGCCTTGGCCGGGCTCTCGCAGGGGCCGGCTCACCGGGGGGAAAAGGCTCTCGCGCTGATGTCGGCTCTGCGGCAATAGATTTTTCAAAGATGCTCTTCAATATTTTCCTTCAAAGGATAAAACTGGAAAAAAAGTTTAATATCTATCCCTGACAACTATTTTATTTCCCCTGCTAGATGCAGCACTTGAAACAACGAAGAGCACGAAATGTCAGGTGAAAGGC